CTAGTGAGCCAACCCCTGCGACTGCAATGCCACGCGATGGAGCTCAACGTTTGACAAAACGGAATGTCCATGATGAGGACCACCATTTCGCGTAACATGAGGCTGAGGCCAGCCTCCGTCCTGTCAAACAAAGACCATCGTATCCTATTTCTTGGCATCGGTCTCGCCTGTGCATGTACGTTAGCTAACCTGCTAACTAATCGTTAGTGTTAGATCCACAGATTTGGGTTTTATCGGCGAGGGACAAAAAAAAAGACCAATGGATATCGTAGCATGTGACGGAAGAATGGCATTTGAAAGATAAAAAAGGAAGCTACCTAGTTATGGATATCGGATCTTCAACGATTGGACTGGGATCCTCTCATGTTTCGAAACAAGGGATTGAGCATCGTAATCTCTTGACGTCAGAAGAACTGGACCTTTCATGACGATATTCATTTGCTTGCTTGGGTGTGTTTGAGATTGTGTAGTCAGTGTATTATAGTAATATTTGTATATCTTGCCTCTGATACTGGCCTCAACATCGTGAATGGCATCTGTCTCTTCTGTCCATCCGGAGAGAAACACCCATCCAATGAAGTAGTCGCGGCAGGACCCTCGTATTAAAGGCCCCGACTTGGCCACGGCTGGGACTCCCCGCACCGGTGATCCCTCTAGCCATTCGCTAAACCCCCTGCAATCCACTGGAGCGGGTTCCACTCTGACCACTGATGGGCTCAATACCCACTGAGGGTCCGCTAGTCACCTCACGATGCTAGCCAGCTAGGCCAGCCACTTCCAGGTTCTGATCGGCCAGCCCAGCTGTGATGGACTTCATCGTTACATCGGCTGAGCTGAGAACCAGGACGGACGATTTTGAGGCAAACATTTAAGACACTCGGCCATCGCCCTTTTCTCTTTCTTGGCTTGCTAGTATCATCAATTCTCTCCAAAGACTACAAACACCATAGACAAGACATTAACTTGCTTCTTGTCATCCTTTTCCCATCCTCCCTTCTCAGATTTTACCTCTCAACAACCATGCTCACCTCAACCTTCTTCCTCAGCCTCCTCGGCCTTGCAGCGGCCTCACCGGTCCAGCCTCACATCAACGTGAACCCCAAATACCCTTCACGGTCGACATCAAAGGGCTTCAAGCTCGTCGTCAACGTCACAGACCACTCCAAGGACTTTCATCCTCCCATCCACAACACCGAGCTCACCAGCATCCACACCGGAGCCGGCCTCGCCCTCGTCGGAGTTATCGAGAAGGACGGCCGTATCTTCTACCAAAACGGTACCAAGGAGGAGCGCCAAAACGGCGAGGCTACTGTCATCAGCGACGGTGGCACTCCTTTGACTCCCAATGGCATCGCTCTCGTGGCCGACAAGAAGAACAAGAACCTTTTCGGTGCTACTCTCAACTTCGAGCCCGGCACACCCGGTGTTCAGTTGAACCAGCCCGAGGACCCCTACACATATCTGCTGCCCGAGACTTTTGTGGCGTGTAACAAGAGCTTGGAATACTACCAGGGCAAGCACTTCATCGTCATTGAGCAGGCACACCTCACCATCGATAAGAACAACAAGATCCAGCGCAACATCCCCAAGGGCTGTGCTCCCATCCGCCTTGTGCCCCAGTGTGCCGAGCTGGAAACTCTTCCTAAGGGATCGTACTCCAGCCACAAGTACGCCCTTGAGTCCAAGTGCTACAAGGATGTTTCCAAGATCAAGTGGGAGAAGTACAGCCCTTAACCTGGAGTATCTTGGTAAACAATGAGATGGAATTAATGATGATGAAAAGGTAATGATTGTTTTGAACAGCCAGTATTACTAGGATTGGCATTAATAGCCTTAATAATGTATAACAGTTATCTTTATGCCTAAAAGCTTCCTCGACAGTGACCTATCTGTATTGTGAAATCACTTCAGCACATCAGCGGTGAGGCATATGTGGGTATCACGACCTGACGCACAAATGGATCTAGACTCGCCAAGCAGCTGGGTAATCCGAGGCCACACAAGAACAAAGACTGCTCGTGGAACCATGACAGTTGCTTTTCCCGGCAACCGCGGGGAGACGATTGGGAAGCGGACTGTCCCCGTAAAAGTCTATCATCAGGTGCTGCAGGCACCTAAACTCAAACTCCACAAAGTCATTGTTTGGCCGTTAGCGGCTCATCTTTGGACCAAAAGATAACCTTCATGTACCAAAACGGAAGAGGAGCGTTGTCTTGAGTCAGTTGTTTTGCCACATCTGAACGATGTTTGCTACTGCCTATCCCTGTTTGTCAAGTTATGTCATGATCAGCCAAGTTTGCAACTTCATCCGGAAACGAGAATAGGCTTGTACCGGCGGATTAAATCGGAAGCCTTGTGTCTCTGACCGATGGCAAAGCTGCACTTGCTACTATTGAGGTGGAGGTTTGGGCTGGCACTGACACCCAACGGTCATGCAACGGCTACGCATAATGAAAGGCGCCACGGAAGCCTACTTGGTCTCTACAGTTTGCTATAGGGCCTCTTATATTTAGACGTACTCTCATAAACCGGGAAGTCATAGCTAATAAGCTGAGTACATACCCTCACGTGTGTTGAGCTCCCAAAAGAATATTGAATTAAGTTGTACGTCAACTTGTTGTATTTGCGTCAAGTATCAAGAGGCTTTCGCAATCTTGATTAGCTTAAAGGCTATAGCATAGATGGTTGAAGAGTAACTATAACATAACAAAATATCAGACGCGCATTTCCGCTTTTGGTGCCATGAAGCTTGAACAACAACCCTGGTTCATCAACGCGGCGTGCTGTTGAGTCCAACCACATGCGAAGAGTGTAGAAGCGAGCGACATATTCGCCTCTGACCGACAAACATATGAAGACATATACTGGATGGTAAAGGCCAACTTGACGCCCACCTCTGACGCCTGTGTTGAAGATATGAGGTTTATGACTGATGCGAGCAATGTGACGTTGAACAAAAAAGGTCTCCTGGTTCACCAACGCGATGTGCTGATGAGTCCAACTATATGCGAAGAGTATCGAAGTAAGCGACATGTTGGCCGCTGACGAACTGACACATTAAGAACATAGGTATGCTGGATGGTAAATGCCAATATGACGCCCACCTCTAACGTCTGCGGTAAAGGCGGGAGGTTTATGGATGACGTTGATCAAGGCGACGGCGAGCACGGGAGTCCAGCATGGCGTTCTAGGCGGCGGCTGTCTGCTCGGCACGGTCTCCGATGAGCTCAGGTACCAGAAGGGTTGGTTCTCGACAATTTTCTGGAACAACAGGTGCCATTCCCGTACCTAGGTACTGCAGCAAAATGCATTAGTCGGCGGCGAGCAGCATTCGTGATGCGCGCCTTGTTGTACTCTTGGATTCGAGAAGTGGCGGTTCGGTCGAACTTGAGGACGGCAAGATCGATGCAGGTTCCTACTGGCATATCCATTTCCACATAGCGAGGATTGATGAACTTTCCATTCTCGTCTTTCCAGATAGCTTGGAGGAGCTGGTCTTGCGCGGAAGGAATTACGCTCATATAGACAGGGCAGTTTTGAAGTCGATTAGGACCGGGTGGTCCAGGATATTCAGCGCTAGGAGGATGGTTTGTCTTGAGTTTGCCAACCTTGACTCTGTTTTCTGACAAGGTTACCGGCTTGAGGGGCAGGCAGGTCATCGGCGGATGGCTAGATGAACTTGATCCTAAACGACAAAAAGACTTAGGTAACTTAGCATAAGTTTAGCATAAGTTTAGGGCAAGCTTATGATGAGTTTAGGATACCTTGAGCTGAGTTTATTTTGTCACCCAATATCAGGGTTCGATATCTCCTTGCTCTCCGAGGGATGGTTCATCTTGAGTCTGCCTCCTTTGACTCTGTCATCTGATATAGTAATAGGCCTAAGCGGTAAGTCATCGGCATTACCCATAGTGGTTTCCCACTCTTTGAAAACAGCAGACAAGAAGCTTCGCCAGTGTTTGAGTTCATACGAACTTCGCGGCCTTCCTCCACTTGGTGCATCATCTGGGCGAGGTCGGTAAACAGCGTGAGTTCATCATGAGTCAGGCATCCTTCTGTGCACGAAATGGACCCCGGGGGGCGTTCAGCAACATTCCCGGTCTGGCTGATAGCTTCGATATATGATATGCCTTGCCTGCGAGGGGGAGAGGTCTGAGAGGGGGGACTTGGAGAACATCATCATCGTCGTCCATGACAATAAAAACAGGGTGTTTCGGGTTTGCCACTTCTGATCACAGTTGGCGAGGGGATGAAGATGAAAAGAATGAGGGGATGCAGAAGGAGAAAGATGGAGGGAGAGGCGAGGAGCATCGCATCCTTCCTCGACTTGGTGCATCATCTGGGCAAGGTCGGTAAAAAGCCTGAGTTCATTACGGGTTAGCTTTCCTTCTGTATACAAGATGGACCTCGGGGGGCGCTCAGCAACATATCCAGTCCTGTTAATGGCTTCACTATATGAGATGCCTTGTTTGGAAGGAGATGCAAGAGGAGGTCGAGGGGGAGGGGTGGCCTTGGGGGGCTATCAGGAGGACTTACAACAGACCGGAAAATGTCAATACGAATTTGAGATGCATGTTGGCAACGCGAGTGGCAATCAGAAGCTTGATGGTGGTGAACAGACCAAGTAGTCTGAGGCCGAGTGCAGGTCGTCCTAGAATAGCTTTAATCCGCAGTTAAATCGTACCGCTTTGCTTATAAGGACGATATATATCTCTTGCTTTTACCAGCCTATATGGTAATGCGAAATATCTCGTTTAGGTATGAAAGTTGTGGTTTATGATGGTGCGGAGAGAAGGTGTGGGATGGGGAAAAGGTATAGTTATTGCAACTCGCCAGCGGCAGGGACGGCCCTTTTCATTGCAACGGCATTGCTTTCGAAGGTCAATCTTGATCGCTTCGAAGCCCAGGGGATCGATGCTTGTTCAGATGGTTAGATGCCAGTTTTTCACGTTGATAGTGAACTTACAGTGTTCAAGTCTGGTGACGAACTCGTCAGTGAATCATGGCCCGTCCGATTCAGCCATGATCTGATTTTCTTGCAGAGGACAGAGCATGAGGATAACAGCAGCGTGATTTTCTTTTATGCTTTTGATATGTGTCGACCAAGGGCCATATCCATTGGCCTTCTGGGGACACCTATGCTCAAAAGCGGCAAAAAAGAAACCCATCAAGTTCGATCGTAGACCGATGCCCGGAGAAATAATGGTGATTTGAATCAATTTAAAGATACCAGGTGCCGATTTGAACTCGTTGTCAAGAATGGCTGATTCAGTCCAGCAACTGCGCCTGTGTCCCGTCACGGGCTAGGTAGATAGGCTTTGCAACTCTTCAAGAACTGGTGGGACTACCCGGGAAATTGGAGGGAGGTTGGCAGCAAACATGCAGTAACCACTTAATACTTACTAGCTCTTGCGCAAGGGTTTTCGCCTCTCGAAGGAAGCGGACCATCTCGAGCCGTTCCCTCTCCCTTTCTTGCTCTTCTTGCTCGTACATGTAATCGATGAGTTCGTGTACTCGAAAGCATGTCTGGCCGATGCAGTTGGAGATATAATGGCCCTCTGCGATGTAGATATTGTCGAAATAGTGTAGATTGAAATGCTCGAGTCTGTCTCTTCCCCAGGCGTTCTCCATTTCCACGATGTCGCTGGTACTGACAGAGGGCCAGTAGGTGTGATTGTCTTCCGTAGACCAAGTCACTCCGAAGATGACGTTGGTTCTCAGGCGGTATAGATTGCAATTCGAGAGACGATCAATGATTGCGGGGTTGGTGATGGTTGCCATCAGCTCCAAAGCAACTCTAGAATAGTCTCTCATGCTTGGTGTGCAATTGGACCATCGAGTCATCCACTCTTCGCCAAGGTGATCGAGGTATGCTTGAGAATATTCTGGAATCTGGAGACGTTAGCTCTGGCATTGTGCTGTTAGGGGCGGATGGAAATACCGTGCGTAGTTCCTGTGTTTGAGTTGTTGATGAGGGAGATCAGATGAGGAGCGGAGGAGATGAGGAGATGGGAAGTTGATGAGGTGAATGGTAAACATCATAAGAAAAGTTTTCACCTGTGCTCAACCTGAGGCACACTATAGGAGACGAGCCTTGAAGTGTCAGGCAGTGCCAGCAACTGGCAAGCATTCTGCCGCTCGGGTAGGTAGGTAGGTATAATCAGAATCGCGACATTGTGCCCTGATTCACCCCCAGTGGAACTACCACCTGGCAACTTCTCACTCGCCTACTCGCCCGCCATTAGTCGTATTTGGGAGGAGGAATGAGGTTGAATGATATGTGTCAGTATCAGGTGCAGTGGCCAGTGTTTTATCGCCTCCTCTTGTTCCACCCCTGTTTGGGCTGTGGTGGAGCTTGGGGAACAGTGTTGTCGTTCATCCGCGCCTCAGTCCTGGCTGTGGGCTGATGGGCTTTTGTTTCTTGCGGGACTTCCTCGAGGTCGACTAGCGGCTCGTTCATCATGTCCAGCACGCTTCCTCTCCAGGTGAAGTTGAGCCATGTGGTGATGTGTGGTGATGTGTGGTGATGGGAGTCATCGGATCTTGCCCAGATATAAGCCTTGCTATAAGTTTGGGTTTCAGCTCTGGGTCCATGTACTGAAGCGCTAGGAGAATCTGGATCTGAAACACTGTATCTTTGGCACCATTATGCAGTGCCTCGAAGTCCTTGAGGCGAGTGCCCACCACAGGGGGAGGAAGACCGTCGGGCTCTTCCTTGATATTGGGCGCCATATTAGCATGGTCAACCTGAACGGGGTCTGCCTCCTGCAGACCCGGATCAGTTTGACCAGCTTGGCCAGTATTGCCAGACATATCTTGGATCGTTGCCGGAAGGCTGGCGGATATCGGAAGCGGAGATCGATTGAGGAGGAGAGAGCAACGGGCTGCACGAAGGACAACGAGGAAGAAGAGAGCGACAGTGTGCACATAGGACAACAAGAGAGAAGAGAGCAAAAGGCTGCATGAAGGAGGCCGGAGGCTGAGAAAAGGCCAGGAATGAAAAAATAACACGCGAGGGGGGGATGGTGAGGAGGTGTGGCAGAGGAGGAGAAGTGTGAAAGGGTGAAAGAGTAGGAGGGTAGAATATTTATGAATGTGTGGAGAGAAGTACAGGCAGGGAGAGGTTTGAGCAAGGTAAGAAGTGATATTACGAACAAGTTAGAAAGCCGAGGAGAGGAGGAGCAACAAGAGAGAGACAATAGGGAGACAATGAGGAGACAATCGCAAAAGAGGGCTACATTATGCGACTTGAATATGTTTACATTGCTATGCTGCTTTAGCATGAATGAATCAGTGAAGTAACATGCTGTTTCTAAAGCTTTCACGTTTATTGTCATTTGGGTTTTACCCCTGAGATCATCCATCTCATGTTAGGTACTAAGATATATTACCTACCTTATGTTAGACGTTACGTTAGCAACGACCTTTCCGAGTGTCAACAGGCAGCGCCTACCTAACCATGACACTTACCTTTAGGTAGGTGGTGAACAGTACAAGGAAGGCAAAGCTTTCGCCCTTATTCTCTGTGTAAATAGCATTTATTAGAAGGGTATATCATCGTACAAATAGATTTTACCATCAAAACGCATCTTACATCTCCCCCAAATATTCATGTTAATCATCGCTCTAAGCATTGCTAAGAAGATCAGAAAAGTCGATTCTGAGAAGACATAGCTTTCTCCCAAGACGTGTATAACCAGAAGAAAAGGCAGAATGGCTCATCAGAGCACCGGGATGGCATTTACTCCCATCCAGGGCGCCGAGCTAGAAGACTTCCTTGGAGACTCCAACGCTACCACGTCTCGCGCCCCCGATGCGTTCATCACGCACTACTGCCATCTAACATACTTAGAAAGGCACGACCTAAGAGACCTACTTTTTGCCTGGCTCGAGGTTTCCCACAACACCACCGACCTTCTCAGTCTCTGCCCAATCACACGATCTCAACGCGAGTCCTTCTTCTCCAGTATCTTCTCTGACTGGGATCCTTCCAAACCTACCTGCAGCCCAAAATACATACCTTATATGGAAACAGACGGAAAGATTGAAGTTGGCGTATGGAGCCAAGACCTCCCAATCTCGCGCGAGGAACGCGAACGTGCCCTAGAGAATGGAGAACAGGAACCAACTCGTCAACATAAGACAGTCAGGCAGGCTGGTCAGAAAGCGTTTATGGTTCCTTCAATGGGAAAAATGGGCAAGAAAACCGTGATCGTATTCCTATACATGGACGCGGATGGCGAGTTCAATGATTTTCCAGGGTTTGTAACTTTCAAGCCAGGCGGCTTGACTCGTGAAGACTACATGCGAAGAAGTATCAAAGAGTACGACGAGAGCAAGACTTCCCGGGCTTATCAATACAATATCGAGGCCATAATTGACACTGCTCAGAAGCGAATCGTCAAATATTGCAATGACGGCGTTATGGAAGGTCGACTGCCCGTAAGTGGCCACAGAGTCCCTACACGGGTTGTTTTCGATCCGATCTTGCCCCAAATTGAGAGCGGTGACGCCTGTTGGGAGACATGATGCGCTTGCATCAGCAATCAGCAACAACTTGCCCAGCGCCAGAAGCAATCATTTCTTGAAAAGGGTTGTCATAGGTTGGTCGATCCATGGCTGTTATCCAATCCGACTACTTGATTATGTCGGACTTGGCCTGGAACATGCTCCTCTTATATCCACTGCTAAAATTTGGTCTGAAGCTCCCGGAGCAGAGATTAATCACTAGGATGGCGCAACCCCGGGAAATCAATGCTTCTGGCACGCTATTTTTCTGCTTGTGTGTGTAATTATCTATGATACTGAATGCGATAGAAAGTATCGTGCGATGGTCGTAACTCGTGTTTTGAGTTCTGCGATGACCCGGGTATTCGATGCTGGCTCACGGTCTATCTGTGTTCAAGGATCAAAATGAAAATCGATAGCGATATGAAATATAATGCTGTATGCTTTTGTTAACGGCATCGCATTGGTGTATAGGTAGCTTCATTGTTGTCATCGATTCTGACGTATTGAAGGAAGAATATCGATTATTTCAGCTATGAAGAATACTGTGTAAATAAACGAAAAAGCCCAGTGCCGACAGAAGTGCCTACCTACCTGTCATGAGGCAGAAGATTCTTCCAGTAGATGTTGATATAATACTTTACCTGGTAGATGCCTTATCTAAAGGTACGTTTAGGTATACCTACCTACTAACTTACCTACCTACCTATTTCTGTTGTCTTATCTCGACACATGACACACGTTCTATCAGCCGCATTGACCAGGTGACCGAGCTCCGAGATCGTCGTTGCTACCTATAGCTCAACCTTCCTCGACAACATTCAACCAAGCATCGACAATTCTTACTTTTCACATTCCACCTTTCACCGATCCCGCCTTTCGACCTTTGACAACAAGTCTCATTTACTTCTCCAGCTTGCACAAAGCTTCATCCCCTAAAATGACTCAGGTTACGCCTGCAATGCTGAGCGCCCGCGCTTCGTCACTATCATTGCGACAACAAGCGCTATCGTCGTCAGCTACGCTCAACAACAATGCGACTGCGCCCCAAAAGCCCGAATCGAAGCAAAGTTCCAAGAACTTTATCATTTCGGATATGAAGGGCCGCGATACAAAGGACAACCGTGTATGCGCTTCCTGTATTACCAAGCTTGCGCCTGATGAAGTCGGTCAAGTCAACTGGCATCTTGAGGCTGGCCAGGCTTGTAAACTGTGTCAGGTTGAGAAGCTGGACCCTGAGTGTTTTACCAAGCCTTTCTGCGACTTTCTTCGGGAGAACCCTACGATTTTTCACACCGTCGATTACTTTGAGAACAAGCTGAAGGCGCTTGGATATGAGCAACTCTCTCCCCGCGATAGCTGGTCGGGCAAGATTCAGCCTGGTGGCAAGTACTGGGTCACTCGGAATGGGAGCTCTCTTATCGCTTTCAAAGTCGGTAAAGCATATAAGCCTGGAGATGGTGTTGCTATGATCGGTGGCCACATTGACGCTCTCGCCGCGAAGCTCAAGCCCGTTAGCACAAAGCCTGTCAAGGCCGGATACATCCAACTGGGAGCTGCACCCTATGCTGGAGCCCTGAATGCAACCTGGTGGGACCGGGATCTCAGCATTGGTGGACGGGTTATCCTCGATGATAAAGAAACCGGAAAGAAGACTGTAAAGCTCGTCAAGCTCGACTGGCCTGTCGCTCGAATCCCCACTCTTGCGCCTCATTTCGGGGTCGGTATGATGGGAAACAACAACGCTGAGACTCAAGCCGTTCCTATTATTGGCCTAGAGAGTTCACAGCGTCCGTCTGCCGAGGCTCTTGGACCCGCTGGCTCTTTTGTCAACACTCAACCTCCACGACTGGTTGAGCTCATTGCCAAGGAGCTCAACATTCAATCGTATAGTTCGATTGTCAACTGGGAACTCGAACTTTACGACTCCCAACCCGCCCAGACTGGTGGCCTGGATCGGGAATTCATCTTCGCTGGTCGCATTGATGATAAGCTCTGCAGTTGGGCAGCCCTTACCGCCCTCTTGGCATCTTCAGAAAACAGCGACGAGGGAGGAATAAAGCTCGTCGCCTGCTTCGATGACGAGGAGGTAGGTAGCTTATTGAGGCAAGGTGCGCGTGGTAACTTTCTTCCCTCTGTCGTTGAAAGGACTGTCGAGAGTCTATGTCCAGATGTATATGGACCAGGACTTCAAGGACAAACATGGTCTGCAAGCTTCCTCGCTTCTGCCGATGTCACACATGCCGGAAACCCCAACTTCCTTGAGAAATATCTCTCTGAGCATGTGCCAGAGCTCAATGTTGGCGTAACCATCACTTACGACTCCAACGCTCATATGACCACGGATAGTGTCTCGGCTGCTATTATGGAGCGGGCTGGTGAGCTTGGTGAATGTCGGACACAGAGATTTCAAATTCGAAGCGACTCTCGAAGCGGCGGAACCATTGGGCCAGCACTATCTAGCATGCTCGGGGTGAGGGCTGCAGATGTTGGCCTCCCACAACTCTCCATGCACTCCATCCGCGCCACTACTGGTGCATTGGATCCTGGCCTGGGTGTCAAGTTCTTCAAGAGTTTCCTTGACAATTGGGAGAAGATTGACGCTGAGTGGCACTAGGGGTGGAGGTAAGGGTGTTTGATATATGATTCAGGGGCTTTGTTTTCGATACCTGCTTGGATGGATGTTATGGTAGTAGAGATTGGCGATTTTAGATTAGAATTGTACACGATATGGATAGATTGAGAACAATACGGAGTTTCCATTGTTTCATTTTTAAACGTCCATACCGCAACGAAGAAGGTTGAAGCCAGGGGTGTGCAAATCAGTGTCTATTATGGGTTCGTAACTCCAACATGACTACTGTAGCATATCCATCCATTCAAAAGCCGATATCGACATCAGAACTCCAATCATCTGTCACTTCCATTGACAAGTATACCTAGCAGCAACTGAACCTTGATATCCATTAAGCGTGGATACGCCCTACACGAGCAAGCCCTTCATTTTGGTACGGGGGACGGCCTTGAAAGATATTAGTAACAAGCCAAACACTTAGTCCAAGGAAGAAGACTTGCCGGTGGGATCCACCATGAATGCACTTCTGTTTCAATTCTTTCGATCCCCATAGCCCGCCTTAGGTCGCAGGGCCTCAAGGTCAGCGATAGCACAGTTCTTCAAATGCTGGTGTCTGAAGTACTCGGAGGCGAGAATTAGTCTCAACAAATTGGGGGCCCGGCACTCAACGCCAAGCTGAATAGGGGCTCCAGCACCAGCAATCGCCCACTTCTGAATTCGTCTTCGAGCAGCCTCGACAATGAGCTGCAGATTATGCCCACAGACTTTGTTCTTCTCAGAAATGTCGTAATGGGTCAAGAAATTCTTCTTCGCTTCAGTTTCACTGAGCCCAACTAGGAGTTTTACTTGTGATTTGTAAACGCATTTTCCAGTCTTGTCTTTGTAAAGCCAGTTGATGCCATCTGCGTCAAGGTCGAGTGAAAGATAGATAGGAATCGCGTTGCCCTTGCGAGCCTTGGAGCTTCGGCGTCCATTTGCTGGTTGGTTGCTGGAGGCATCTGTAGAGTAGTAGCCGACCTGGTAGTGAATGTCTGGCTTGCCACGCGCAGGCAGAGGGTCACTCTCGGAAACTGGCATCTTGGAATTCCAGTTCTTAAAGACAGTAATCCAGAAGTTCTTGTAGGTCTCATCGGCTGGGAGATAGACATCCCCCTTCCGCTGGACGTATTCGTACAGCTTGATGAGATCGTGCAGCCACATCTTCTCTTTGATGACGAGCTGGCTGTGTTCAGAAACACACTCATCAGCCGCTCGGGATTCAACGACATCCTGATCTTCGAGGAGGTTCTTGAAGCCGACCTCATGGCAAATCGGATGCGATGAGGCTACTGGAGCTACCTGCTGGGCGGGAAGTCCAGGGTGCTGAGATTGCTGCATGGCTAAGGAACTTCCACCTCCAGGAGTGTTGAGGGGCATACCCTGAGTAGATTGAGGCTGAGGTGGTGCTCCGCCTCGTGGGTCTTGAAGAGTAGCATATTGGTGCGCATGAGCCTGGAGTTGTGAGCTCTGCTGGAAGTTTTGCTGAGAGGGATAGGGGTTCCCAAACTGCGGATGGAAGGGAAACGCCGACTGAGTGGGAAATTGCGGTCCCATCTGAGGATACTGCTGTTGACCAGCAAGAGAAGCATACTGGAACGCCTGCTGAGATGGGTACCCATATGTATGCTGAGCGATGTTCGGGTCGATAGACTGCTGGGGAAAGACATTTGGATGCTGCATGATATCCTGATGGGGAGTCTGCTGGGGAAAGGAGAAATTGGCAGCTGACTGCATGCTCGCATAGCCGGCAATGAGATTCTGAACATTGTGCTGTTGGTTGGGAATGTCAGCGACGAGTTCATCGACATGGCCAATGAGTTCCAAAGGAGCCGGAGGATGTTCTTGAGACTGATGATCCTGAGCAACCTGGGTATCCTGATAAGTTGCAGAGACTTGCTGAGCATGGGTAGCTTGGATATTGAGGACTTGGGGTCCTGTAGTCGAGGCGACAGCCTCAGGGCTATCGCTTGTGGTGGTGTTGGAAGCCATTGGTGCCGACGATGCTACAGTCTGAGAAATTGGAAGAAAGAGCAGAGAAGCACAGATGAAGAAGAAAACAAGATAGAATGTAAACGAATGATTACAATGAAATGATTGCCGAAGCAACCGTCAGTGTCAGTGTCAGTTCTGTTCTGTTCTGCGTCATTATCCACATTGCCAGTGCCGTGATGTGTCAGAACAGTTAATTTTGACAGCGGCAGTGTTAGTGGCAGTGGCAGTGACTTATGGATACCATTCAATACATACTTAGCAGTGGCTCTTTGGACTGAATACCTAGTCATCAGCAATGTTGGTTCCTTGAATCCTGTCTCTTTGATCCCTCATCTTCTTCCTTCATCAACATCCATCTTCGACTCGTTTACATCAATAAACATACAGCAGTTACTTTACTCCAGAACTATCAACAAAATCACCAGCCCCTCAAGTTCCCTCAATGCCTCAATATGCCTGAGTACACCACCGAATATCTTCAGTATTGGGGGGATGAATGGATTGCTCGTTGGTCAGAGGGTCACTGGGCTTTGGAAAACATAGCAAGGTGCACCTTGCAATACCTAAAGATATACACCAACTTCGATGTCTGCTCCGGACTGTCGACAAGCCCTTCCTATAGATATAGGACTGAGCGTATCTTTGGCGTCGAATGGACACCACATGAGGCTGATGGCACTACCAAATACGGAGTCTCATGTGGCTTCAGCGAGCTCGCCTGGCTGGAAAGTGATTGGGCCAGGGATCGTTTGGAAAAGTTCGAGGAGCCATACTGGTCGAATGAGCTTATTGCAGAGGGCCAGTTTATGTGCGGGTGTATCTCCGGCACTCTTTTCAAAATGGTACTTTGGATCGACTGGGTTGAACGACGCTGGGACCAAATTGTCCGTCAGGTCGAACGTCTTTTCATGGCCCACTCGGAACTTGAAGCGATTATTGAAGAAGAGCTGGAGATATCCTCTTGAGAATAATAACCCAAGGAGATCCTTAGCTAGAAGAAGTTTTCCACAGAGTCTTTCTTGATCGACTTACATCAAGCTATGGAGAGAATCCCAACATACGGTATGAAGATCGGGATGAAGATGCATGAGATGATGCCGAGCCTTGTTCATTATCAACATTCTCACGCAAGTTGTAAGCTCCTTACATGTCCCATGGCATCTTACTAATTGATCATAGATTGCGCCAAAGGTCCAACCAAGTACCTCTGAGATGCGAATCACTCGATCGCAAGGTCGCCTTCGCTTGATACCACAGTCAGAAATGGTCTGCCACACCCATATTTCTTACGTTCTGTTGATTTGCCAGTGTGCTAACCCTGATTCGTTGAACGTATCAATCAAGTCAGAGGAGAAGTTGAGGAACACCGCTTCCCATTGTGTCTTGCGATGGAGTGTTAGTTTTGCTATTGTTGGGAGATTGCAGCTGGTCGTTGGTAGAGTATTGTACTTTGAAGGAGAGTAATAGTCTCCTGTCTCTTTGCTAACGAAACTTGTATTGGTGTTTACAGCTTCTTCTGAATCTCATAGGATAGGATATGTCTTGGCGTTTCTATCTTGATAGCCGAGAAAATTGATTTTACTAAGAAATTGTGTCTATTATGATACAATCAATAGTGGTGTCAACTTCCATGGCAATGATGAGTCAAAGAAGGAGGACGTAAGGTCTGAAAACTCCCTTAGTTGGACCAGGGCGAAAAAGCAGTCCCATACAAGGCAACAGCTTTACAATTTACATACTCCCTTATGATCAAACTATCAAACCAGGTCCGTGGAAACTTGACCTCAAGAAGCAATTTCTCGCTGAAAGGGGGTAAAAGGGGGTAAAAGGGGGTGGTACGACAATAATCACAATGACGACAAGACATGACCAGTAATTCACTCAACATATGCTTTATTAATGTGATGCTCAATATTAGATTCGAGAGACGCTGCAAGCTCTCAGTGTTATATGCATTGATTGACGCCTTTGCTTTACCTGAGTAAATGGCAGACCCAAATGCCTACGTCCCTAAGTAAATAAAGGATCTGCAGTATCAGGTTAAGGTCGGTAGATGAACTGGCAGTGCCAAACAGTGTGGTGCCAGTAAAGATCTGGGAAAAGAGCAAGCAAAAACAAGGCCAGTGGGGATCTCCTTCACTGCACACCCGATTTCTCTTCGCCTTTCGCATCATCTCCTATACCAAGTGTTGAAAGGCAACCTCACATGCGTGTTGCTGTATTGTGTAAGCTTTTGGTCTACAGTATTCTCACCTATCTTGACTGACCGAGAAAGAACACAGTCTTCTTCCATCGCCGACTACGCCATGGCGTCCCAAGGGCGCGACAGGCTGATTCTACGAGAAGACATCATTAACGACGACAGGGTGGCTTCTTCCAGACATCCCAACACAATCCTGCGCAATCATAGAATGCTCAGGAAGGAAGAGAAACTCGCTCTCATCCAACATGCCCAAGAATACGCCCGGGTTCTGGTTCACCAACGAGGACAAACTACCGCAAACTCAGAGAAGCCTTTGAAGAAGTTCTACGCCGAAATATTCCTCCATTGGTCAACTTCACAAAAGAGAAATCCTAACCCATCGTCCACTTATCCCGAAGACTTGCAGACACTTGTAGGGTCCATAAAGAAGACTTGTTCCAAAGAAGCTGGCAACGCTATCACGCAAAAGTGTGGTGAGCCTGCTTACTTAATTTTACGCGTTAATGAACACGCTGAGTCTATAGAGTGGACTTGGAACAACAGTATGGCCGGAGTATTGTTCCAGGTCGTATTGAATTCGAACCAGGCCTCACCGTCACTCAAGCCAAGATCAATGCTATTCACAACTACGACAACCATGAGCGGCGGCGAATCAGTTCCTCCAACACTCAGCATATCATCTGTGCCACGCGTCGTATTCTAGTCAAGTGGGCAGCTCGTGGAAGTGAGAGTCCGCTCAAGATCGAGCCAGGAGACATGGTCAGCAGAATCCAGCCACTTGTTCTTGCATCGGACCTTGCCCGTTCCATGGCTGCCACGTACTCTCAGATTGTTGAAGGCATGAATGGAGAAAACGAGGGTGGAACTGACGACCCTGACTCTGACTGAAGCGTGTTCGCAGCGCTTCATAATACTGCAAGGTCATATTCTCAGTATTCGGCAAAACCTCTGTTCATGGCTCACCATCATGCCTGCCCATGGGATTTCCAGCTTTAGAAATGGCATGTCAACAACTGGCATCTTCGCAATTCCCACGCTGGTAAAGTTACAATTATGGTTATTGGCACGGGTTGGAGCTGTCTCATTGAACCTTAGCACCACTCGCCCTTTTTACTCCTGGTTCGATCACGTATGGTGTGTCATCATTCTTCTAAGATGTTTCATTGATCAATACCCTAACCTTGAAAAGACACACTTGCTCTATTTTCATCTGCGATGAATGAAGAACGGCTTCCATATGATAGACTCGCCATACATTGATACATGAAGGGACACTAGATTTGGTTGATGATGGGAGATTTCATGTACATAGGCTTTAGTTTTACTGAAAGCGAGATGCCGAGATATTATAATATGACCCCTTTTAATTTTGATCAAGACATGTCGGTGGACTTGAACATCATGCGACAAGCCTAGAGAGAGATGCGGACTTGGACTGTAGCAACTACTCGATAGGCATCACTTCTAAGCCCAGAGTTTGATGTTGGTCTTCCTTAAAACACAATCTGATTTGATCGAGAGCCGGCGAACGACAAATATCAAGGTTCGTTATTGCAAATCTGATTCCTTTCAGCTAAATCGCAATCTAACCGTGCCGTAACGGGACAGATCCACGGAAATATTAACCGTTTCAGCCACGCAAAAACATCATTTGATCTCGTAAATGTCCGGTAATGGAACTCGGGTCTCCAAGGGAAATATTGAAGCGGTCTACTGTGACTTGCTTTCATATAGTTTGGTGTACCTCCCCATTCTGAGAAAATGTCAACATTCAACCACTTTGTTCAGAAAAAGGAGAACCATACCGCTCACGGAGAGTCTTTTCACGGCCGAGGACATGGTTTCGCATGTTCTTGGCTTTCGAAGCAGCTTTTTTTATTCCTCTGCGGGCCTGACCCATCTTTGCTTTCATTCGTTGCCCGTATTCCTCAATGGACTTTTTGACTTGTTGTGACAACTGTGATGACCTTGAAGATTGGTCAGATTTGGAAGGACTCGAAGATATTGAGGGCCACGAAGTCCGCGACCATAATGACCGTATCGATCCACTCATTGTGCCAAGAGAGGTATGAGACGAGGTTTGCGTGTAGTAAGGGGCTGTCGTGATGCTGAGGTTGTGGGTGTAGTGGCAACTGTAGCAGCGAGGAGTGAAGGAAAGGAGTTACTGAACAGTTGAAAGATGTCCCAAGTCAAGCAGAGAGCATGTCCTTATATACATGTCTTATCTGGAAAGTACTTTCAGGTCACTAGATAGCCGTGAAATGGTTACAAACCCTGATTCGATACTGTCACTTACACCTTAAGTATCTGATGAGACTCCCAATGGAAGACCTGTTCATTTCCACTCCACAAACCCAAGATGTGAATTCAAGCTATGATTCGCCCAGTAACTAACCCAATGGCGGCAACGATTGGTGAGTGTTACGTCGCTAAGGAATCTGAGCTTTATTTTCACATTAGATTCAGATGTTAAACCTCAAGACAAAGCTTAATACGTATCTCATGTGACATCCTCTCCCACAAGGACCCCAGGCTGGCCGATTGTGCACAGGTATTCTTTGGGTTCTGAGATTAGGAGAGGCTCGAAGCATAGTTCACCAACAATTTTAACTATCTTGACGCGTTCTCCGATCACCTGGGCTTCCAGTAGATAGATGTATGAATTGCAACCACTGGGCTAAATGAGTGAGATAGGGATGACAAGTGACGTGAGATAATAGTTGATCATGAATTTTGTTAACTAAAGCTAAGAAAATATTAAATGTGGCCACTCGTGTAAAGTGTATATGTAAAGATATGTCACTTTCAGGGAAGTGAGTAACACATTAAGCTTCAACCAACAAACATACATATGGTCTACCTGGAATAGAGGGTCAAGATATTTTGGATTTGATCACTAATACAAAAACATGATTAATTGTCGCATTAGATAGGCGAATCTCAATCTGTGAATACTTGTTCCGTACTGCAGCACCTCTCGAGATCCAATCTGTCATTAGACCCTCAATATCGTACTCTATCTTTTTGCTACGTATAAGTTTGTTTCCCTTCTTCTGAAAGTGCTGCGTTCCATTTCCCCATTTCATATTACGTCTTATGTTTCTATTTGGCGGCTTGTTTTTGGCCTTTTGTCCTGGTTGCTTTCCATGCAAGAACTCGCAATATTCGCTGACCTCGCTCATAAGAAGCACCAAGTCCACTTATGAACTCGAGAGCCCCGGGGGGCAAGGAAAATTGCGACCTTGGTCAGAGTGTGAAAATAAACTGGTCTAAAGGCCTGCTAAGATACACTAAACTTACCTAAGCCTTTCGTCCCTTAGGATTGAGGTCCTAGGTTTTCTTGACTCCTCTATAAGGGTGACGAGAATCTGCATCTGGAAGACAGTGTCGTTTGGTATTGCAGTCCGTGCGCTGGATGACTAGATTCAGGCATCTTGCTGCAAATACATTGTCAAGGTTGATGACCGGATACTATTGATACCCTGGCCTGCAAAAGACCAAGCCTGATGCCCCTTGGTTCAAACGCGACCAGGTTCACGGTCGGAATTGGGACTGCCCTGACGACACTCCGGACGACAATAGCACGGATGAGAGACTGAAGAGCATGATGCCTGTGTAGGACGCAGCAGCGAGCAAGTATGTTGCACCGAAAACTGGAAAGCGCCCATTCTCATATCGATTGATTTTGAGGGTCTGTGCCATTTCGCGACCGGCGAGTATGCAAACGGCACCAAATACTCATACAAACCAATCACAGAATTGGGTTGGACATGGTTCGACACCCGCCCGATGGTTGAATCTTACCTCGAGGAAACAAAGCCCTACCCATCCCCTGGAGACCGAGGTTCCAACCTCTTCACCAAAATGCATCCGAGTCGTTTCATCATCAACGAATACCGAGGCCACTTTGGCGGTAACTGTGGGAAATACCACGTCACGGAACCTTACAGCTTTGCATTCGGACCATCTCAGTACATAGATTCAGACCAACTGGCCCCAACTCTCGAAAGCCTATTCAAGAACTCCATCGAGTCTAGAGAGCGCACTAAACACGAAAAAAAGAAAGAAAGAAAAAAAACAAGATCGAGCGGCACATTGTTTTCTTGACATCGGACTCCGGCCTAGAGGAAGACACCCTCGCACGTCTCGGTCTAGATTAGTTTTCACGACCGAACGTCGAGCTCTTCGATCTCCAACAGCACTGCCTCCTCGTAACGAAAAGAAAATGCCAGGTAGTCCTGGATGCCCTTGGTCTCCGTTACAGAGACAATAGGCTCTACCGCGCCGGGGACAGAAAGAAAGGCGGCCATGAACTAGATGGCGATCACCGTGCATCGCGGCCAGGCGGTCGTTTCTTGAACAGTCCTACAGACCTTGGTCTGTTTGAGAAGTTCGATCTTGCCGACAACATTCGAAAATGGGTAAAGACAGAGGACCCTAAGCTCAACCGAGGTATCCAGCCAGAAGCGATCAATATCAACGCAGAGGACCGGACGAACTTCTTTAATGTACTCTTCAAAGACTGGTCAAGCGCTGCAGATATCGAAGATATGCCATCCAAGCCTCAAGACAGAAACAAAGACGACACTCGCATCCTCATCGGCAAGTGGTCCCAAACTTTGCCAACGTCCAAGAGCAAGAGAAAGAGAGACGAGGATGGGGAGTCGCCTACCAAAAGGCGCAAGAGAGATGACGTGCGACGTCTGCACAAGCCAGCATACTTCGGAGTCGGCATATCCTCCGGCAAAGGCGAGGACAAGGTCACATTCGACGTGAAAGATGAGAGCAACCAGATCGCCGCCGCCTAGTATGTCGAATGGAATACCGCTGACGACATCGACGAACTGAAGCGCCGTGCTCTCACGAAATGGGAGCGCAGCGAGCGAGCCCGGATTCGGGATTTAAATCATAAGCGCATCTTCATATCATCTCGAAACTACATCATCCGTGCTGCGAAGGCTGGGTTTGCCGAAGGGTTTCGCCCGCCTGTTGCCCTTCCAGAGGTAGTCGAACTTACTGAAGCCGAGTCAGCTTTCACTATCTTCAAAAGGGTAGTAGAGGCAAATCTCAAAATCGTACAGGGGGTAGAGGCATCCCTTCGCTTGATATAAAAGACCGAAGATGGACTCTGTCGGGTAAAATACAAATTCCAGTTCTAAAACATTGATCGAAACAATACATGTGTATGCAAATGTGTGTAGTATATGTATAGGGGGTATCTAAACGAGCTATGCTGAACAATTTACCAGGTGTAGGCAACCAATCTATCGAATATCAGGCCAGAACCAAATCAACGATATCTCGAACTTGAAGAGGCTCGTGCTAAATCTTCAGCCTCCGACATCTCTAGCAGACTAACAGCCTCGTCGGCATCATCTTCATCGTCGGATTGTCCCATCTCGGTAGCTGGGTCCTCACTGGTCTGTTCGAGAGGACGGCGCTTCTTCTCAAAGTCCTGCTTGTGCGCTTCGGCAAGCATGCGTGAGAATGTGCGTTTTGGCGGTGGTGGGGGCGCCACTCCTCCTGTTCTGCGTCGAGACAAGCCTTCTTCTGCTTGACCGGCTGAGACGGCGGTGGATTCGGCTGTGCCATGGCGGGAGGGTGTTTCGAGTGAGGCAACACCTACGATGTCATCTGGTTGGTGGCTGGCGACGGTGCTGTCCATACTGGCACGAGCAATGAGAGGCTCGATTCTGTAGGGAAGGGGCACATCACGAGAGGCCTTGTACTGAGAGACGTTTCCGCAGTGTTCGTTCTCAACGCGGAAGAGAGTCCACATGCCTCTACGAGTGACTTCCATGAAGGCGACCATGAAAGAGACAATGGTGGAGTGTTGGGTGTTGTGGGTGAAAATAGCATAGAAGATCCAGGCAAACCGAAGAATAGGGTCTACCACCATGATGAAGTAGTAAAGCCATCGTCGCTTCAGGGCAAGAATATCTCGGAGACACCAGTGCCTCGAGTTGGGTTGAAGAAGAGAGAAATCCATAAAAAGATCCCAGAAAGCTGGTAGTGGTCAGAAGTGTTTGCGGATGATGAGCCAAGCAACTTACAGCAATAGACACTGTTGATGGTCGAAAAAGTAATGAATAGAGCAAGATGCATATTGGAATCATGTATACGATACAAAGACAGCATCACAGCAGCAATTATAGTCGCTGTATACTTGCCACCGTTGACTAGATGAGGAAAGACATTGCGTGTATCTTTATATCGACGAAGGCATTGTAAGAATCGCCAAATGGGCGGAAGGGCAGTCAAGAATCCAAGAGCCCGTGAGTGGCTAGAGTTGCACTGCACGGGATTCTGCCAGTAGTTGGCATATAAACAGAAGAATAGTTCAATATTCTGTCATTGTTAGTAATTCCTCATTCTCAGTCTTGATTCTTTACACTTACTGCGGTAGCATATGTAAGTGAACAGTAAATATCTCCGAGGAAGAAATCACGGAACTCGACAGGGTAGAGTCCAGCCAAGAGCAAACGCCACTGGCTCATGTCAGCAAGTTTCAACAACAAGTGAGGGAAGACCTACATGGGAATATGCAAACCAGCGCCGGCTTTTATAGAACAACGTAGGAGCAGGAAAGAATAAAACAACAATAGTAAAGAAGATAAGAATGACCGGATAGTAGATGTACATGTCCGGGTCGCCATATCTACTAAAGTTCACCCACATGAAGAGGCCCAATACCAAGAAGAAGAAACTTGGGAATTGAGCCAGCTCTCTCCAGTCTAGATGATGCCGCTGGTCGAACTCAAAGATGAAGGGGTAGTTGACTTTGTTCTGGTTCCAGATCAAACAGTCAATGCAGAAAAGCGAGAACAAATAGAGCATGAGAAAATAGCCTCCATAGATCTGCATGAGATAGCTCGTCCGCACGCGTACTTCGTCATCGTCATCGTACAACAGCTGTGCTCCGTAAATGAGACCCTGAATCGCGAACACAGCACCAGTGCCAATGAGCAGACCATTCTGGAACATGCCGATTGACTGGTCTTCGGGCTTCTTGTTCAAACTGCGGAGCTTGCCAGCGGCTAGCTTGTGATTACCGCGCTCGAAATAGCGAGCATACAGGTCTTCCACCGTACGAATGTGTCCCTCGAGTACATCGCTGTTGACAAACCATGACTGGTTGACCTTTTCGTTAAGATAGCGGTACGGAGGTCGGGCATTGACAGCCTTGTCGTATTTCTTATTGAGCTTTCGAAATGCCGTGCGGTTGAGCATTGCGTATGATTTGAGTAATTCAAGCCCACGATAAAACTCTTGGAGTGCGAGTTTGAGCTTGCGCTTTGCTGTGCGGTATGAAACCTCGTGATGGGTTGGGCGACGGATGTAATCTCTCTCAGCGTCACCTACGACGCCACCATTGATATTGGGTGTCGTGTTCATCTTCTGCAATGCCTTCGTGTTGGGTCCGATAGGGAATATCTTGGACTTTATAGGATCCATGATCCCGTTGAGCTTGCCATTGGCGCTATCATGGGTTCCTCTTTTCTGGGGATTTTCCTCACGGGCTCTCTCATCAGCCATCTCTTGAATTCGACGGTTGCGCATCTCGTGAAGTTGTACTCTCAGAATGTCCAACCTCTGACCAGCCTGTTCTTCCTTCATCTTGTAGAAACTCTCGACCTTTTCAAGTTCTGAATCGAGGAAATCAAAGAACTCTCGCTCCCTTTCCTTAACCAGGTCGAAGTTCTGCATGTTGATATCGACTCTGCGGTCGCTTTTTGCTGTTGATTGGTGGGTAAATAGTCGTCGGAGGTGAGAAGGTGAGTCCTGAGCACCAGATTCTGATGGTTTCTTGGTCGAGTTATTTACGTCTGGCGGCGCAATTGTCGACACGACACTGGCTGATGATGTTCGTCGAGGGTCAATTCGCTGAATATTTCGTCGCATCGCCTCGGAAGGCCCAACAGTAGCAGGCGAACCGGGGAGGTCGCTCTCATGATCATGAACTTTCAGCGCAGGCGCAGGTAATTGAAATTCGGCGTGTTTGGTCTCACCAGCCAAAGGCGAAGGCTCCGGTGGTGTATTGACAAAGCTTCCATAGTGTCGGTTGTCGCCTGAATCTGTGAGGGACTCGTTTTCGGCGGCTCTGGTTCGCGGCGTTGGGATCGACCTCGGGGGGGCAACGGCTGCTACGGATGGAATTGTCGCAGAGTTCAAAGCCGTGTTTTCTCTTGTAAATGGCTGACGCGGTGTTGCAGGCGAAGCATATGTGCCAGTGCGAAGCTGCCCAAGACCTCGAGGTGTTCCATTTGCACGAGCAAGAGCTCTGCCGACAGCTTTGATGTGCTTCTTCCCTTGTTTGTAGTTGAGGTACTTGATGCGCCACTCTGCAGGTTCAAGGTTAGTTTTGTCCAATCTATAAGACAATTCTTAGGTATTTACCAGGCACAGCTTCTCGCTCGAGCTCCTTGGCGAACTTCATGACAGCTGCTCACAGCCCAACAATAAGCGGACTATAAACTTGCAGCATCTAGAATTCGGATGAAGGTCGCTAAATAAGTTAGGGGTAAAAAAGCTTGGGCTTAATTAAGCTCGTGGAAAATTTGTTGGATCGCGTCGAATCCGTCAACATGCCCCTCCCTGGTGATCATGAATGGATTCGACCACTAGGGTCGGGAGCTTTGAGTTCAGATGAACGAATGAATTGCTTTTGACGTCAGTGCACGAGGTCCTCACTAAAGCGAAACAAAACGAATCCGCTAGCCAAGACGGGGAATGTCTTCCGCCATCAGCATAGGTTATTAGGTGCCGAATTACCCTACACAAGATAATTGAGTTCTGATTTGAGGGGGTAGACGATGATAAGAATGACCCAAGGAAAGGATGCTTGGGAATTCAAGTCTTGAGGAAGTTGACTGTGCGAATTAACCCTTATTTTGCTAACCTGTACTTGAGTTCGAAGGCCGTAACTGGCTTACAACTTGACCTAACAAATGGCTTATTGCCGCCCCCCCAACGATTGGATATCAACCTGTTGAAAAAACGACGATCATGAGGAATACAAAGGAAAGAAAAGTGATCTCACATAAGATTTGAAACCGATTTTAGGATTATGCGGCGCAACCGTTGATATCTGGGTTTGGCGTTCAACCTGTACACCCAACCTTATCTCAACGTTGAACTTAATATAGTTTCTTGTCACCTCAAATGGTGATGCAGACTACCATGTTACATAAAGATATCTGACTGTATTCCGATGTTTACTTAGCAATTTCAGGGTCATAGAACTGAGTTATTGAATAGCACAATGACGCGAGGATCTACGTATACTTGCCAAACCGTTACTAACGACGCCAAGGGTATTCCATGATCAAAGCTGTGACATATGCTCTATTTTTCCCTCTATGCTATCCTACGCGTAATACAAATTGCTTACAAAAGTAACCTTATTATTATGTCCTACAAAGGTTGAGAAAAACACTCCAAACTCCCGGCGGTGTAGTATCCGACTCTGCCGACCTTCGATTTATCATGACAACGCAGCCGAAACATAACTTTGCTGACGTGTTAATCGCAAGATCATCAAAAAGAGGAAATGATCAGACCTAAGCTTTGGTGAAAAGATGGTGTTCCTGAAGGTTGAACACATTGTGTTACTGTTGACTCATAGCACTCAGGAACCGCCCCGTGTGCAACAACGAGTCGGCGAGAATAGACACACAAACTTCAAGGACAAATCGAAATGCCCCAAGGCCGAATTTGAGAGAAAAACTAATATGTGGTTACGTTATGATATCCCATCAGGACGAAGCAGCACTTGCGAATTGCAATTGTTGTCCTGAGCCTCATTGCC